AACATTTTATAGGTAGTAACCTTATACCCCCCCCCCTTATAGATCGACTTCGTGAATGAGGCCTACTAACGGTAACACTGACCTTTTACTTATACATATATAATATATTAAACTTTTAATTTTATATAGTATAAGGGTGTATTTTAAACTTTTAAAATACTTGATGGTTTAATCTATTAATAAATTATACTCTTAATTTAATTAAACTTAAACCATATGATTATGGATGTAATAATACTCTTTTAATTAAACATTTGATTAACTATTAATAAAGCCCATAAGGTGTAATTGAACTATTCAAAGCATTTAGGTTATTAAAAATTCAAAATTAAAACTATTTAATTAAATTTTAAGTTATGAACCCAAGAGTTGCATCTTTTGAAACCTTTCCATTACAAGTGTTAATGTTTCCAAAATTTGAGACTTTTTAAATGCCAAAACTTGAGGGCAAGTTTTGTAACTCTTGAAAACATTTTCATTTCCATAACTTATGAGTTTAATGTCATTTTAATGGATGAGACCTTTCATGTTTCATAACTTGAGGACAAGTTATGGAACTCATTAAAAACATTCAGATCAATTTCAACAAATAAAATTATCATATAATTCATGATTGATCTAACTAACTCATATAGCAAGATAATATCAAATCAACAATTTACAAGTAACTTTGTTTATCATATAAAGCAACAATTATTTTAAAACTTTGAAAATTATCTTTTGATTGGATGAGTATAATCACTACCATATCAGAAAAAATAGATTTTATGATACAAAACAGTTTGTGGTAGTGATTCCAATCCAATCCAAGCCAAAAATCTCAAAATTCTGCACACAGAAGGCTCTACTCGACGAGTGCATAAACCGGACTCGTCGAGTTGCCCTTTTGGTGAGTGAACTCGTCGAGTCAGTTCATGGACTCGGCGAGTTCATCAATCAGATGCCAGAAAATCGACTTTTTCAGCTTTGAAAAATAACCAAGCATCAAATATAACAGAAAACAATCCTGGGCTCTGATACCACTGTTGGGTTTTGTGTACTATAACACTCCAATGGTGCACATACAACCCTAATAGCTTTGATCTATATTTTCACTAGTTATACAAGCAATTAAATTTCCAAAGCATGAATCCTACAACTAGCATACAATTATGGTACATGAATCATAAAATCAAATTTGAAGAATACCTCTTTATTGTAGCTTGTACTTTTGGCCTTTCAAGAGCTTAGCACCTCAAGTGTGATGCCTCAAATGGTTCACAAAGACCATGAACAATGGATGACTTTGAGAGAGAGGTTAAGCACCACCAAAATCGGCTAGGGTTCTCTTAGAACTCTTAGGGTCTTAGGGTGAACCGATTTTGGCTAAGGGGTAACATTTATATAGTGTAGGATTCCAAGAGTCATGGGTAAACCCTAATCCATACACTTAGGTTATGATCCATATCTCATGTGGGCTAAATCTTCATGGATACTTACACAAACTTAGCCCATCATGGATCAATATCCTAACCAATATATATGTCACTGATTTACATAATCAGTCCCCGTTAATTTAATCAGTCTCTTTTGATCACTAAATTAATTCCAAATTAATTTTTGATCAATACTAATTAAATATTATGATTTCTCAATTAATATATTATACTTGTAATATATTAATAAATCATAAATAACCTCTTTCTCAAATATCCATCCTATCAGATTGTTCTTGTGAAGGCAACCCAAATGGACCATGCTACTCTCGGGTCAAGTACATACCAATTATAGTTATGGGCTTAGACACCTAATCCAATAATAAAAACACGCCCTATGGATTAACTACACATCTCACGGGTTATCGGCAACCGTGGGGACTATCAGCAGTCCCATGAAATCACAACAGTCTATGAGTTATTAACAACTCAGCTCATAGATAACAACAATCAACAAATTAGACCCAGGTGGTCAACATATATACACTATCATTCATGCAGATATAGTGAGACGACTCACCTTGCAATTAGCAGCCAAACACAACGAAGACTAATCCTAAAAGGAACCTAACAACAATAAAGAGTACCCTCCCATTCTACACTCTAAAACCCTTAAATTGACCAAAAGTCAACCATAGTCAAAGTCAACCTCAACAGGTCTCCATGTCGTGGCCACTCATAGACCACGTCGTGGGTGCTACACAACAAAACAATTGGCAAGCCCTAACCGCCATGTTGTGCCAGCCAAAATGCCATGTAGTGGGAACTGGGCTTCCACAACTTAACATACTCAACTCTTAAGGTCTAATGCATCACAAATATTGATGCTTTTCAGCCATGCATGTCCAATGCAATTCTAAAGCTCCAACTTAGGTCAAAATGGGGAAATAACACCACAATCTCATGCATGAATCTCAATATTGCAACAAAATCCAGATCTGGGACATATGTATACTAAGGGACCTTAATAACCTATAAAGCTGCTAACTTTATGGGATCCATGCACTCATCTCAACCCAAACATGGAGACAAGTGGGTAGAAACCTAGATATAGCATGCTTCAATGAAGAAGGTAGAGAAACATGCAAGATATATGTTGGGACCAAGCACCCAAACACCAATATGAGCTCCTTCACCCTAGGAGTTAGTGCCTTTAAATAGGCCACCAATCCCGAAATTAGGGTTTTGGCCGAAAATGGTTGCCACGTTGTGGCATCGCACCAAAAATATGCTATTCTCAACTAATGTCACGTCGTGGCTCACCCAACGCCACGTCGTGGCCATACATAATTCTAAATTTTTAAATGATTAATTTATCAAAAGAATACATGCAAACTGGATGTTACAACATGTGTCAATGATTTGGATAATTTGGGGAATATGCTAAAAGAATTGATAATAGATTTGGAAAGATTGATCCAACCAACATGTAACCTCATTCTCCAAAATCACACATCTATAGACACATCATTTCTTAGGTAAATCTTGGTTTTTTTTTGTTAATCAAAGTTCTTATTTCGACTTATAACATTTTGATTTTTGTTTGCATAACTCAATCCATTGGGTTAAAATTGTTCCCATTATGGTTGGGGTTGTAAGTACCGAAAATAAAACAATGTATGGACGGTTGCTCGCCATATATTTCGATGACGCGACTTTTTTTTTCTTTTTTAATTTATTTGGTTTCATCAGATTTGTCTCTAGGGTTCTTGGTATGTTAAGATAGTGTTCATTTTCTTTAGTTATATGAAATTTGCATAATCTTTCTTACCATTATGAAACCTTGCTATACTAGGACCAAATTTAAAAAATGTCTCGTGACAACGTATTAATGTTATTAAAATCTATTTTAGCATTTCACTTACAATTTATTTGCGAGGGGATTACTTTCTTGCTCATGCATCATACTATCCATAGCAGTTACAATGTTTTCTAGCTAAATTACAGATTTGGCCTCTTCATTACAATAGTTATTCTAAAGTTCAATGCCTTAATTGGAAAAAAAAAATGTATAAAAAAACCAATCCGGCAAAACCCATGCGTTTTTACTAATTTCTCATTAAAACTATGAGCTAAAATCATGTAGATTTGAAAGATTGTGTATATAGGACAATTGATAGGATTCTATTCTATTTAAAGATCTTGTAAAACTTGTGAAAAGTAAGTATTATTTTAATAAAATGACAATAACACTTTGCGTAAAAGCAAAAGTAAATTATTTGTAGATGATTACGATGGTGTGAAGCGGACTTGTTTCAAGGTTGTGGCTTTCACCACTAGATTTTTATCACAAATGTTATTCATAAATAATTTAGACCGTTGCTCACCACAAGATTTTTATCACAAACACTAGTTATTCATAAATAATTTAGACCGTTGCTCATATATATACGATTAACATTAACATGTTTGGTGCATTTAGGGTTTTGGAGCTTTTCTATCGATGGCAATAAACCCTTGATTCTCTCCATAGTCATGAAATTTGATTAAGCTCTTTTACTAATAATCTTAACGAATATATTGTTTATTTTTATTGTTTTTTATCTAGAAAGATATTCGTCTATTTTGTGAAGAAAAAAAACAGAATATCTAACACATGATGGGCACTATCATGATTTTTATAATGAATTTGACAATTTTAGCTTTAAAAGAAAAGTAGACACAGAAGATGTCAAAATGTCAAATAGCCAAGTTATATTTATTGTATTTTGTATAAATTTGGAATTATAATATTTTTTTTTAACAAAATGATCACTTATGTGCACAAAACTTTTATGACCACATCAACTACATTGTATTTCAAATTTTAACTAAAATGTGTAACATATATTAGTAATGAGTAATGACATTTGTTAACCCCCTTTCTTGAAAACAAAATATAATCTACATGATCAATATCTAAAGTGAGGGATCATCTTGGTGTTCGACCTGAAGTCAAACCCATATTACAGATTGTGATTTCAGTATTGTAGTCTATGATCTACATGATCAATATCTAAAGTCAGGGATCATTTTGGTGTTTGACCTGTACTCAAACCCACAGTTTGTGATTTTAGTATTACAGTTTATGATTCCAACATTGCAGACCACATGCTACGTTCAAAAAACTAAACCGACCCCAAAAGATCAATACCAAAAAAGTCTGGCATAAATCTAAAATTTAAATGTAGACATATTCAAAATATTACAAGTATATTCCATAATATACATCTTATGTTATATGGTCCCTAAACGATTTCCATGGGCCAGTAATGATTAAACATTTTTTAAAGCAACAAAAAGTAGTTTGTCCAAACTTGCCATGCGTAATACTCATTGGGGCTCGTATGTAAAATCAAATAGTCAAAGGGTGCAAAGTGAAACTAACCAACGGTGGAAATGAATCACGTGGAATACCAATCCGCGGGAAAGCGCGTGGACAGGGCCTGCAGCGTCGAATTCTTTCCCTTTTTTTAGTTTTACAAGCCGCACGTTTTCAACTTATGAGTCGGAGCTGACAAAGAACCAAATAATCACATCTCACCAACCAAATATCAAGATTTTTTTTATGTATTTTTATTGCTTTTCAACGAAATGTTCTATAAATCATTCGCCATTTCTCTCTCTCCTGTTATTGATCAAGGACTCACGGGTCCAGAAACGAATTAATCCGCCCTTTGTTACAAGTTGATCGTGGCGTAACCACGGCGGACGGTGGTGGCGCTGTTGATCTCAAGGAGCTTGTAACAATCGGTGGATTTAATTAGTTAACCTGAATATACACACAGATACAACGAGATTGACGAGGTTTAGGTTTCGGAGAACGAAGTTAATGATTACGAACTGATTTCGAAATAATTCTCAAGATCGATTTCGCCATTGTTGTCCAATTTGTTCATTAAGGTAACTTTCATGTTCATTTTCACCTAATATAAATGCCGACGCACACATGATCATATGTGCTTTAAAGTTAGATCTACCCGGTTATGCCAACGTTCATCGATCTGTTATCTGTACATGATAATTTCGTATTCCAGCTTTTTAAGAATAAATTATTCAAGGTGATTGAAGAATCTAAGACATATATATTCATTGATTTGACAGATAAATCAAAGCTCTATATAAGACGAAGAGAGAAATCATGGGAAGTAGCTTCGAAGAAAGTGGAATGGCTGTTAAAAGAGATGCACCGGTGCCTCCTCCGTTACCGGCGACAACCCTGATGACCCGCAAGCCGCCGTCAGGCCGGAGAATCTGTTGTGTCTCCGCCACCACGACAGAGATATGGGATAGTCTTTTTGATGATGCTTATAGAGCAGATGTGTCGATTCATACTACTCACGACATCATCTACGCACATTCTAGCATTCTTGTAAGTTCGATCGTTTTAAGATCTCATTTCTTCTGCAACTTTTCGTATAATTAAACAATCTATAATGGAGTCGATGTTAATTAATCTTCTCCAACAGGGTCTGGCTTCACCTGTTTTCAGAAGCATGTTTAAGCGAAAGGGTAAAAGCAAGAAGCAAGTCAAACAATTCACAGTTCCTATACGTGGAGTTCCAACAGAAGCTGTTCGTGTTTTCATCCGATTCTTGTACTCTTCATGGTAACATTAACATCTCGATCTTCTCCTCAAAAACATCGATTTCATTTGTTTGATTAGAAATTGAGAATCTCAACACGAGTTTTTGATTCTTTTGTTTGATGTAGTTATGAAGAGGAACAAATGGAAGAACACGTTTTGTCTTTACTAGTGCTCTCACACTCCTTCGTTGTACCACGTTTGAAACGAGAGTGTGTAAATCAACTCGAACATAAATTCTTGAACATTGACAACGTTGTCGATGTATTTCAACTCGCACTTCTATGTGATGCCCCACGACTTAGTATCATATGTCATCGGCTAATCATAAAGAACTTGAAAGCAGTCTCTTTGTCGGATGGATGGAAAGCAATGAAAGAGAGTCATCCTGTTCTTGAAAAAGAACTTCTTGCAACAGTTGCCGTTGAAGCCAATGTAAGCATTTGAAAAGGACATTCATTCTTTTATCCCTTTCATTTAAACAAGTGTATGAGGTCTTCTATAGAAGCAATCTCCCAACTTTATGGTGGGAGGTGCCGACTATCCTACCTCCTTTATCCCATTTGTATTTGTTGTATATTAACAAGATGACATGATATAATTGTTGCAAACTTATTATGCAGATGCAGAAGGAGAAAGAGAAGAAGATGAAGGAGAGGAAGGTTTATCTAGAGTTATATGAAGCTATGGAAGCCCTAGTTCATATATGTAGAGATGGTTGTAGAACAATTGGTCCACACGACAAGGATTTAAACAAACATCAAGATCCGTGTAACTACGAGGCTTGCAAAGGGTTGGAATCACTCGTACGCCATTTTGCCGGATGCAAGTTGAGAGTCCCCGGTGGTTGTGTTCACTGCAAACGAATGTGGCAACTCTTGGAGTTACACGCTCGTCTTTGTGTGGATTCAAACGTCTGTAGAGTTCCTTTATGCAAGTACGGTTCAACGTTTAATCATCCTAAAATGTTTTGTTGTAATTGTACTATAGAAACATTAAATGTACATGAAATCGTCTTTTCTGCGAAAGGGTTATCCTTTCAGCAAACCCTGAGCTCATCCACACTATCTCATACCATGCCAAGTGTATGATAAACCCTGAGCTGATCCACACTATCTCATACCATGCCAAGTGTATGATGTGAGATGTACATAACGGTCCCATAGGCAGCTGACACAAACCCAAAGCCTACAAGGAATCTTTTCAGCAAACCTTGAGGTGATCCACACTATCTCATCCCATGCCAAGTGTATGATGTGAGATGTGCATAACGGTCCCATAGGCAGCCGACACAAACCCAAAGCCTACAAGGAACCCAGTACATATTGAAACTAAAACTATCACTCTATGACTACTAATACTCGAATAAAATCATGTTACAACCGACATAACATGACATATGACACTCTCATGTGAGGGAACATGATGCATAAACATTATTCATAAATGATTGATGTGTAAAGTAGCTTATTGAGTTTAAAATATTTTGTTGCAGGAATTTTAAAGAAAGGGCGAAGAAACAAAAGAAGAAGGACGATATAAAGTGGAAAATATTGGTGAAAAAGGTCTTGAGAACAAAAAGTATAACGGGTGCTCCGTATTTTACATTGGTAACATCGTTCTAATGCTAGCGCTCACCATAGAGAGTACGTAGTCATAAATTAAGCCGAAACCTTTTACAACTGAATCGGTCTCATTGTATTGTAGTTATGATCATAGCTAGAACAATGTTATTGCTAATTTGTTCTTTGCTTATATTGTATATTAACTACATGTTTGTATAATTACAAATATCAATATATGATTATAATACAAGTATTTTGTATACTTTTGTGATATGTAAAACAATGTATGACTAAATCAATATGTCTATAAGCTTGCTAAAAACAAGATGACTCTCTTTCAATAGGTAATTTGACAAGTTTTCTTAAAATGCATAAGTAAAGAGACGCACATAATTAAAAATGAGCACACATGGGCCTTGGTCTAGTTAGCCCAAATCTCAATTCTCAAACTTATTGGACATTGAATTGTTATGTTGTGTCTACGGCCGGACTCCGGAAGGCACTATTCAGATGAGTTTTTCCATACGGGAATAAGTCAAGGAATTTTACTAACACCGGTATCAAGTTAAATAATGTAATCAAAAGCAAAATAAATAAGGTACAGTTACAAGGAGATAATGGAAAAAGGAGAACAACTCCATCCTGTGCAATTATAATCACGAAACTCCTTTATACTTACACCAAGTGAAGGACATAGAAATGATATTATTAGTTATCTTGGTAGGAGATGAGATAATAAAGTCAAAAGCAAAATAAATAAGGTACAATTACAAGGAGATAACGGAAAAAGGAGAACAACTCCATCCTATGCACCTACAATCACGAAAACTCCTTTATTAGTTATCTTGTAATGAGGCGACATAATTGTATTGAAAACTTCCTAATTGTAGTCATCCAAATGCAACATAAAAGAAAGTATATAATGGATACTAGGAATTTAGGATCTAGCATTTATTTGGACAGTTACCCCATTTAGTAGTAAAGTTAAGTACCTATTTTGTTTTTTGACCATAAACTTTTTTTCTTTGAAAAAAAAATCTGAAAAAACCAAAGCTTTTAAAATTTAATTCTATAGAAAATGAGTATAATCATGAAAATTTGAAATATATATATATATATATATATATATTATATATATATATATATATATATATATATATATATATATATAACCTAGAAAAAAAGATTCTCCAAAAATCATAAAAACTCAAGGGATACTTCTACTTAATATACTAGTGACTTTGTAAAAAGAAATTTTCAAAAATAAGTTTTTGAAGTATTTATTTTTAATTTTAAGAAATATTAATTTTTTTTAAAAAAAATATTGAACATAATATGATGCAAAATGTGATGATTCAAAAGATTTATAATTCAAAAACAACTTTTGATTCAACTTATTTATGATCCTTAATTTGTAATGATCTAAAAATATTTAGACTCAAATATTTTATAATCCTTAATTATATATCTTTTATGATTCAAAATATATAATGATCCATAATTTTTTTTGAACAAAAACTATATTTAGTTAAATATATTATTGATCCAAAATCCTATTATTCGAAAACAATTTGATACAAAATACAATTCAAAATAATTTGATTCAAAATTTTATCATCCAAAAATAATATGATTTAAAAAAAAGTATGAACGGAAAATATTATGATTTTTAATATTCTTCTTATTTAAAATTTTGTAATTATTAAACATTAAAAAACTAAAAACCGATATTTAGCTTTAAAAAAACAAAAAAAATCTAAAGAAAAAAAACACTAGTACCTTCAAGTAGGTAGGAAAGTTATTTAAAAAAAATGAAAAAATAATAATAACAATTTAAAAAAATGAAAACAAAATTAAAAAAACGAAAAAAAAATAAAAACATTCAAACCGAGCATCTATCTATTTAAAAAAAATGAAATTTTTTAACGAAAAATAAAACAAAATAAACGAAAATAAATAATAAAACTCACTTAAATGACGTTCAATTGACGTTCGCCGCACGTGATTAAATCATCGAGTCCGTATTAGTTATTAGGGATGGAATTGGTACGGTACCAAGTTTTTTTCCTCCAAACCGTGTACCGTACCAATTATAGTTGGCATAAAGTTTTACCTACCAATATCATACCAACGATACTTGGTACCAACTTAGTTGGCTACCAACAAATTTGGTTGGTACATATTGGTATTGGTATATACCAAAATATTTAAATAATATCTGTATTTGAAGAGTTTGAGACTTGATAATCTATATAAGACTTCACATTATAATCATCACTGAATGGTTAGAAAGTTTTCCAAACATGAATGTGAGTTGAAGTTGTGGTTGTCGCTTGTGTTAGTAAATCATTTTAGTGTCATGTACCTTGCTTAACATTGTGTTAGTAATTTCCTTTACTGTAATTTTTCGTTTAAAAATGAATCAACATCAATAGAATTATATTAGGAACTCCGACTATTACTTGTTAGTTGTTACACCTAATTAAAAATTGAAAATGTAGGAATTGATATATATATCTATATTATATATATATATATATATAATATATATATATATATATATATATATGGTACAACCATGGTATTAAAAATTTTGTATCGTTACCGTACCAAGACTACTTAATTGGCATGGTATTACCGGCCAAACATATTGGCTACCAAACATGTTGGCTACCGATTTTATTGGTTCGGTTGGTAACATGTTGGTTGGTTCTCCATTGTACATATTTTTCAGCCCTATTAGTTATCATAGACATGGGTCGCATGTGAACGCACCACAACCAAGTATTTGGGTTTGACATTTGTACCATTGACGAAATGGGTGGTGGAGAATTGTTCTCGCAGTCCTCACCCTTTTTTGAGTTTTTCGCTGGAACCGGACCATATATATATATATAATATTTTAAAAGTACACGTCATCCCGTTCTCGGAAATATAAATTTCATAAAAATCTGACTTCGTATGAATTACTTATGATATTTGTAAGATATAAAAATCAACTGCGTAGTTAAAAATTATTAACATCAAAAGCTACGAAGAGAATGGTTAACTTTTGGGTAAAGTCACCAAAAGGAAAATCCTAGTACTCTTTAAGATAAAAAAAATTTATAAAACAACGCTAAAATCGGAGTCTATACAAGAGAGTTATGATTTTTGCAAAATCATTAAATCGTATAAAAATAAGGGCTAAAAATAAAGTTGGAATTAGTCAATACAACCTAAAGGGAAGTTGTAGAACCCGTTGAGAGCTATGCGTGGATATAAAGAACGTCAAAAACGGAGTTCGTATGAAAGAGATAAGATTTTTTTAAATTTTGCGAAATGCGCTTGGCGCAAGAAGGTTGCGTCGCGTGCACATGCTTCTAGAAGAAGGTACAATGCAGGAGCAGGAAACGGACACATGTCAGAAAAGCACTGGAGCTACGCCGCAAGGGCGTGGCGCACATTCCTAGTATAAAAGAGTGTTGTTCGCTCACTTCTTTTCCTCACACATCTTCCGTTTTCTCTCGTCTTTCCTTCGAAATTTCTTCATAAATCCATAGAAAATTTTATATTTTATCTATATATTTTCAGGTTCAGTTGATCCCGAGGCGATATTTGAGTCTCGAGTCCCGATTCTACCCTACATCAACGGTTTTACGCTTCAAGGGTGAGTTTCACGACCCATTTCCCCATCGTTTTATAAAACTAGTTTATCGATTTTACAAAATATTATTATTTGTAAATATTAGTAATTTATGCAACAAATACGTTTGGATAAATTGCCGGTAGAAACTCTGCCTAGATTTAAGCAATGATATTATGTCTAATCGTTATGCTACCCAATATACTAGGAAAATATTATACCTAATTGTTATGTTGATCGTTTTGCCTAGGATAACATAATACATAGAAGTAACGCTGACCAAGTTTTAGAATAAACATTATACTTAGTTGTTACTCTGTCATAATATCCTATTATATAGATAATCATAATAATTGTATATATACTGTAAAAGTATATATATATATATATATATATATATATATATATATATATATATATATATATTTATTTATATATATATATATAGTAATAATTATGTAAGAAAATTAGATTAAAGGAAACGTAAGTATAAGCAATGTACTTAACTTTACCATAACCTAACAAAGATATCAAAGCAAAGATAATTATTATATATAAGGTTAAGTATATATAAGGATAATTATAGAAAGAAATTATATCAAAAGAAATTATATTACGTCGCCAGTCCTTGCGTATATTGGTTTGACATTATGTTGTCATTCCGCTAGTTTGGTGCTTTGTTAAAGATATATATTTAATAAATTAAATAGTAAATAAATTAATAATGCAAAAAGGTTATGTAGATTAAGATTGGATGGTATTCCCAACTTCATCTGGCATACGAAAGATCCCTAATCATTATAAATAGAAGTATTGTTTTACGCATGCATACTTCTGGAATAAAAGTATAATCACTAATAAATGGAAGTATTGCTTTACGCAAGCATACTTCTGGAATAAAAGTATAATTACTCTAAAAATAGAAGTATCCAATAGCATACTTCTGGAATATAAAGTATAAGCAGTATGTGTTTAGAACAAAGTAATATTACAGATAAGATTATATTGTACTCCATTTGATAGAGGGGAAATCTAAAGAGAATGATAGTATGTGATAAAAAGTAAATCATCGAAAGTTTAGTATCTAGCAATAATAAAATACTATTAGGAGATACCTTAACAATGTAAATCAAAATACTTTCATAACTCAATAAAGTTACACATAAAGAGTATTTTCAAGAGATATAACACTCAAATTTGTGAGTTCACTGACATTATGTTGATGTTTTCAAACCTACGTGTATTCCTAGGAAACCGCGAGATGGGAGATAGCACCTCTGAAAGCAGCGGTTGATCGATGAAGCTACCAAAGACTTATTATCATTATAGTTAGACCTAGTTATTAAGGCACCTTTTGTAACCAAAATTATGGTATTTCAGAATCATATTCTGATGTAATATTTTTGTCCATAATGGAAGTGATATTTATGTTTTATATTGTTTGTACTGCTCAATATATGTTCAATGACTATGATCCAATTATCCCTACGTCATACAACCGAACGTTTCCGCCGTCGGCCGGGGGTGTGACACCAAATAAAACATAAAGTTTTGATGGAATGAAGGACCAACGTAAG